TACCTGTCTTGCTTGAGACCCACATAGACTGCACTATTGAATAGGTAGTCATATTTCTCTTTCTTAGCCTACACAAACCTACCTCCTTCTTCAGGACTCTTTGCAGATCATAACATCATCAACCAGATGGGGCTAGTCCTGGGTTAGAGATCAGACCCAACTACAAGTTCAACTCTTCCATCTTCTACCTGGTGCCTCTTAAGGCACATAGCCTAAGCAGTAAAGAGAATCCTTTGCCTATCCTCATTCCCTTGTGATCCAACAGGATGGCATAACAACTCATATTAATACATACACACATGTACACACACACACACCAACAACCACCAAACTTCAGATGCCCAAGGTCCTGCAGCTAAATGAAAGAGCAACATAAATTGTGAAAAAGCAAGACAGAATGCCTCCTGTAGTTATCCCAGTCCTGGGTTAATTGTCCCTGTGAAGAAGAGCTTAGATTAACTTCAAGACACAGATTTAAAAAGAATAATCATAAATGTGTTCAAGTAATTCAAGAAATTAAAAGTGGATGCCAATAAATACCCAAATGAATTTAAATTAGACAAGAATAAATTAGATATTGAAGTATAAGAAAATACAAATAAACATCTGAAGGAAATAGTGACTCTTCAGGATATGAAAACTGAATCCAATAAAGAGAACTATTGAATAAAACCCAAACATAAATGAAACCGAAAATGAAATATTCAATAAGCCTAATAAAACTCAATGGAAAACTTTACCACTAGATTGGATCATGTAGAAGATATAATATCAGGCATGTAAGTCAAGGTAGAAGAATGGATCACTCAATAACATAAAGTGGTATTTTTATTTTAAATTCATGAATGGTTTATGCAAGTACTTTGGGACACCATGGAAAGTCCAAATGTATCTATTACAATAGAAGAAGAAGAAGAAGAAGAAGAAGAAGAAGAAGAAGAAGAAGAAGAAGAAGAAGAAGAAGAAGAAGAAGAACAAGAAGAACAAGAAGAACAAGAAGAAGAACAAGAACAAGAAGAAGAAGAACAAGAACAAGAAGAACAAGAACAAGAACAAGAACAAGAAGAACAAGAACAAGAAGAACAAGAACAAGAAGAACAAGAACAAGAACAAGAAGAACAAGAACAAGAAGAACAAAAAGGAGGAGGAGGAGGAGGAGAAAGCTTCATGGAACATACCTTCACTGAACTCATAAAGGAAAACTTCCCAGTCTGGGAAAAGCAGTGCCCATCCATGAACAAGAAGCACATATAGCACCAAATAGGCATATGTAAGAAGCCCCTTGTTTTATTTTAAGTTAAAACCCTGGGACTGGAGAGGTAGCTACATGGTTAATGCATCACTTCTGGAAGACTGAGATTCTATTCCCAGCACCCATATAACAGATCAAAAATGTCTGTAATTCCAATCCCAGGAGATCCAATGCCCTCTTCTGGCCTTTGAAGGCATCAGGTACACAGTGGTGTACAAACATACGTGCAAACAAAACATTCATTCACATAAAGCTATCAAACAGTGGGTCCAAATTACACATAGACTCAACACCATCAGAATGACACATGATTTTTTCCCCAATGGAAACTTCAAAAGGCAGCAAAGTTGGAGAAAAGTGATTCAAGTTTTGAAATAACACAGAGGTCTACCCTGAATATTTTATCTGGTAAAGCTACCTGTTGTAACTAAAAGAGAAAGGAAAACTTTCCATGACAAAAGCAGGTAAAGGGATTCATAGCCACAAAACAAACACTACAAAGAATACTGAAAAGAATGCTTCAGTTTGAAAGGAATGATAATCATACCCCAGAGATGACAGGGAAAAATATAAATGATGCTTGGATAGCAGTTATGTAAATTTGAACCAATAAGACAAACATCACAAAATCAACTATATGACAGCAATTGAAATAATGTGTTTTTCAATAATAATCAAATATTAGTTGCTTCAGTTTCCCTCTTATAAAATAAATGTTAATCCACCATTTCACTGCTTGTAACAAACCCATCTCACCTTCAAGAGATATTATTTTGTAGTAAAATGATGGGAAAATTATTTCAAGCAGGTAGAACCAGGAAAAAAGCAGGTAGTGATATTCTAATGTATGACAAAATATATTTGAAGTCAAATTAATCAGAAGAGATAAAGAAGGCCACCCCATTCTGATCAAGGATAAAATCTACCAGGAAGACTCTGAAATTCTAAATGTGTGTCCATGAAATGGGTACACCTAATTTCAAAGAACAAGCTTCCGTTTCTTGAAGACACTGATGAACCCTATCATAAGAATATGAAGTGACTTAAACACCCCATTTTTACTAATAGATAGGTTGTACAGGCAAAAAATAAACAAAGAAACATTGACAATAAATGAACCATCCACCAAATGGATGTAACTGACATGTGAACAATATTTCACCCTAATATACATTCTTCTCAGAACACATAGATATTCCTGTAAAATAGATCACACATTGTGACACAAAGAAGATTTCAATATATTTAAGAAAATTGAAATAACTTTACGCACTCTATTTGACCACAGTGAAATGTGGTTAAACTAAAAGAAATTCCAGAAAATGCACAAACTCATGGATATTAAACCATATTATATTTAAATGGGCCATTGAAGAAACCAATAAGGAAGTTTTATAATTCTTGGAATTGAATGAAAATGAAAATACAACACACCAAAACCTCAGAGATTCAATAAAAGCACTCCTAAGAGGAAAATATATAGTCCTAAGTGCCTACACTAAAAGTAATTAGAAATAGCACAGATTAATAATGCAAAAAGACATACTGCAAAAAAAGGAGATTGAAGTAGTAATTTAAAAAAATAGATGGAGCCATGGTTTTATTCTACGAGACCTTTAAAACAAAGCTACAACAAATGTTATGCAATTGCTCCACAAACTAGAAAGGGAAATAATACTCCCAGTCTCATACAAAGCAAGTATTGCCGTAGTACCAAAATCAGATAATGATAGAGCAAAAGACATCTCTTATGAACATAGACACAAAAGTACTCAATCAAATATTTGTATATGGTCCACTATCCCACTCTTGGACATATAAAGGACTGTTTATCCTACTATAGAAAAATGTTCTCATCTATGTACATTGTCACTGTATTCACAAATAAAATTGCATTACCTTAGATATCCATTAACTGATAAGTAGATAATGAAAATGTGATGCATTTTAAATATTATAGAATTCTATTCAGCAGTTTAAAAATGATATTACAAAATTTGCAGGTAAATGGATGGGACTGAAACAAATTATATTGAGTGACATTATCCTCATAATAAAAACAATACACCACTTTATGTTCTCTCTCATATGTGGATTCTAGCTTCAGTTTTCTGGTTTTATATGTTAAACTTGGAGTACCTGTAGAATCTAGATAAGGAATGTGATGTAAAGTGACATCATCTTGGCAAGAAACAGCCTTTGCAGTCATGAATTTTCAAAATCTGCAGAGATCTGCATGGAGTATGCATAAGAATGGTCTCAACAACTAGCAAACAGGAATGAAGGAAGGGCTCAGGGGTCCCTACCCCTCATTTGTGGATTATTTCCTATGGTAGATTCAAAGGGAAAAGGAACCATTGCCTACAGTTGTCTACCCACTGATGACTGCACCAAGCTTAAATGACTACCTTTTTATGCCATCCTAGAGCCTTTATCCAGTAGCTGATGAAAGCAGACACCCACAGAGCCTAACTCCTGGAATCCAGTTGCAGAGAGAGAGGAATGATGAGTAAAGGTTGGAGAAACCCACAGAAACAACTGACCTGAACAAGGGGGCATTCATGGACACCAGACTGATTGCTGGGAAACTAGTATAAGACGTCTCAGAGGGGCTGGAGAGATGGCTCAGAGGTTAAGAGCACTGACTGCTCTTCCAGGGGTCTTGAGTTCAATTCCCAGCAACCACATGGTGGCTGACAACCATCTTCAATTCAATTTGGTGTATATGTAATAAATAAATCTAAAAAAAAAAAAGACGTCCCAGAAAACCTGAATGTAGGTGTCAGTTAGGAGGCCTGGGGAGTCTATGGGACCTCTGGCAGTGGATCAGTATTTATCCCTAGTGTACAATTGGACTTTGGGATCCCATTGCACATAGAGGGGTACTGTTTCAGCCTAGACACACTGGGGAGGACCTAGGTCCTTCTCCAAATGATGTGACAGATTTTGAAGATCCCCCATGGAAGGCCTCACCCTCCTTGAGGAGCAAAAAAGGGATGGAATAGGTGGTTGGTGGAGGGCAGGGGAGGAGGGGTGGAGGGGTGGAGAGGAAGGAGAGGGAACTAGGATTGACATGTAAAACAAGATTGTTTCTAATTTAAATTAAAAAGAAAGAGAAGAGGGAAAAATGTATAGTTCTGTTCTAGTCAGTGGTCACACAGACAGCCTCTAAACTAAATGGGTCATGAAACAAAACTGAAAGCCAGGAATCTTGGAAAGAGGCTGAGATCAGTGAGGAGGGGTGAGGAGGGATTGGTAGGGATGGGAGGGAGTGGTTATCAGAGTACAATATATATATTTGGCAAAAAAATACCAATCAAACAACAAAACATGGGCTCAGGGGATGGGAAATGATTCAATAATATAATAAATCCAAAGAAATGAAAGAAATATTTTTAATGACTGTAGCTGTTCCAACTTAAAATATTTTCTGAATCATATATAACAAGAAATTAAAAGTTCAGAAACTGAGACTTATATACTCTTAATATGTGGGAAGTGAGTTATATGTGATGCTTGAGGCCTGTACTTTTAGATGGCTTAGCAAGATAGACATTCTTTACTGTCTCCTCTTTGAAGAAACTATCAATTGATCTTTCTACATAATCAGCTCCTGGTCAAGTACCATGGTTACACTGAAACACAACTCCCAGTGACACCGAGTGGAAATAAAGAAGTCTGAGAACAGTCTCAGCTCATTCCTCAGGAAAATAGTTGAAAAGGAATATAATCATATAACTCCACTTACCTCTATGGGGTACAGTGACAGTCTGTGTTCATGGCTGTCCTATGAACTATCAGAAATCCCTGAAGGCAAAATCCAATATTCCCCAGGCTTTTCTGTAGGAATGGATAAAACAACAGAGGGATTGAGAGTTGCATGGGAGAATCAGCAGTCTTTGGAACTTTTGGATCTGAGTAAATGTTGTATATGAATAAGAACAAGAAAAACTTCTACTTTTGTTCTGATGGTATAGGAATTATGAGCAATTTTTTTCTCTGTACTTTTTCATTGTGATGTCGTATCACTTGAACACATCAGGAATTGGGAAATTAGAAAGTAGATGATAAAGTATTCATTTATGGTGATGAACTGTAATGTCCTTATACCAATCAACAATTCCCATCCTCAATGACTAGTAGTTGGGAGATAAACAGACTCTTCAAGGTACTGGCATAAGTCAGCAACATGTTTTTGAACTAGCCACTTGACTTGCTTGAGGTTCATATAAAGCATATTAACTATATTCTTTCGAGACCACATTGTTTTTTTTCAAATTGAGTCATAGAAGATGTTTGTACATGTGCCATAAAAACAGTTTTCAAGCAACCAATAGGTTTATGAAGCAGTGGGTTTAAAAAAGGTAAACACAATTTCCTGTAGGGCTTCTTATACTTGACAGTCTATCAGTGAGCTTTACAGGTTTCCAAGTACATCATAGCCATTGATTCCTAAACTCATTTAACCAAAGAGAAGTAATCATTTATTGATTATTATAAGATGCCCCTTAAATGATTTAAGTACTATACTTGACTTCATTATTGTGATGGCTGGTGGTTGTCAACGTCACTGCACATGGAGGCTCAGGTCAAGAGTTTCAGGAAGTGAAACCTCGCTGGAAGAAGAATATGTGAGCTCTCAACTTCCTTGTTTCAGTTGCCATGCCTACCCTTTGTTGCCATGTTTCCAATGTGCCATAATGAACTCATCCCTCTGGAACCATTAGCCCAAATAAACTCTTCCATGAATTGCCTTTGTTGTGTTTTGTCACAGTGGCAGACAAATAACTAATACAGAAGTTAGTTCTAGAAAGTAGGGTGTTACTGTCAAGAACCTGACCATGCTGTTTTTCAAGAGAAAATTTTAAAGATTCTGAAATTCTAAGCAAAAACTAAAAAGTTGAAATCTGTAAGCAGAGCTTAGTGGGCTGTTGTAGTAAGAACTTATAAGACAATAGTGCTGAGGGCAATTATTGTTGAAAGAACTTACTGAAAGCATCTTAGCATCTTCCTTTCAGAGAATTTTGTAACAACTAAATAAATGATAATATTTCACCCACTGCAGTTGTCATTCTTTTAAAATTCTGAGATGTGGAGAGTTGGGGAGATGGCTTTGTTGGTAAAGTGCTTACCTTGTAAAGATGGGATCCTGAGTTCAATCCCTAAGATAACAAGTGGTGATGTGCACTTGTTATCCAGTGCTAGGGAGATGAAGACAGTCAGATCTCTGGGGCTTGACCTGCCATCACAGCCTCTGTGGAAAGTCCTAGTCTGGTAAGAGACCTTGTCTTAAGAAAATGTGTGTGGTACTTGAGGAAAGACATCCAATGCTAGCCTCTGACCTCACACTATTGTACATATACTTGCATATGCATCTATATACACATGAAGATACACGTACACAAAAGTACATAGGATAACTTTGTAACAGTCATATAATGAATAGTTGGAATAGTTAAAGTTGACTGGGGCCAAGTCCCACTGAAATGTAAATATGGGCCTAAAAGAATATGAACTTGTTTTAACCAGCTATGTCAAATTAAACAATTGGGATCAATTAAATTTCATGGTTTTGTTCTAAAATCCATAGTGATTAACATAGCAAATACTTTGGTATTAACATAGTTACAGGCACTAAAAGGTTGTTAGACTTTTCACTTTGAGAATGAGCCTCTTGGTGTATAAGCAATTCTTTTAAATAGGGGGAAAAGATTCAAGCTTACTTAATTTACTGCTTTAGAGAAACTGCATATAAAAGAAATTAAATAAATTCCTGAAAAGGCAAATGTGATTAACCAAAGCATAAGCCAAACCAAATCAATGGATGAATGTCACACTTTGTTCTAAAAGTGATATTATTATTCTTAGCTGAAAAACATAAACACTTTTTGAAATACTATTAGTTATAAAGTGATCATTAATCCAACATGGCCAAGTGGTTGACAGTCCCAGAGAGAACATTAAAATAAGCTCACTATTACTTTGGCAAGAAGACATTGGATTCTATAAGGTGTATAAATGACTTTCTGACTTGGCAACATGACAGCTTTACTCAATAAAACATGGGCAGATGGCAGTGTGAATTTGAATTTCCTGTCTATAGGTGCCTTCCTCCATTTCATTTCCTTTTCCCCTCAGTTGCCAAATTCACTCTCACTTCTCCAGTGCCTAATCTCTCTCACATTTGTGTGGGGTTGTGTACTTTAGCCTGCAATAGTAGCCTCTCACAGATCTTTACATGTAACTTCCACCCTGATGCTCTGGACTTTTCGTGGAATGTGGAAATCTGACATCTTGTTTTCTCTCTTCTTCTTCTTCTTCTTCTTCTTCTTCTTCTTCTTCTTCTTCTTCTTCTTCTTCTTCTTCTTCTTCTTCTTCTTCTTCTTCTTCTTCTTCTTCTTCTTTTGCCTACATTGTCTGGAAGGGTTATCAACTCCAAGCCAATCTCAAATTTTCATAATTTTCTTAGTTAAGTAAACAGATCTATTACCTAGGCCTCTGTTGTTCAACCATCTTCGAATTGGAAATTGAGAAAGATAAAAGAGTTATTCTTTTTCCCTTGAGGAAAATGCTTTCCCACTCCAAAAGGCAGTTTTTCCCCTGGACTTAAATTTTTTCAGCATGTCTACCCTAGAGCATTATGCCTACTATGATATCTTCCCATATATTTCTTACTTACAGTGAAGCAATTCTGGGGGTCTTAAACCTTCTGTCTTAATCATTCCATTATATGTTCATCTCATCTAGCTTTCTCTTATATTGACTTAAAATCATTAAGGCAACCAAATGATTGTGAATGTCTGAGGTGTCACCCACCTGACACCACCACCTGTCCTATGTATAGAAATTTGTCAGCAGTAAATGCTCCAGTCTTTCCACCTGTTTCCTATACTGCAGCATTCTGCTGCTTGAGCTTTCTGTGTACATGTGTGTGCGGGTTTAATTATTAATAGTTTTTCAGGCACACCTTTTCTGCTTCTTCCCATCCATATCAATCCTATCAAACCAAAATTTCTCAAAGAAAATATCACCATATCTTCTGAACATACTTACCTTGTGTGTTTGTGTGTGTGTGTGTGCACGTGCATGTTTGCCTGTATATGTGTGCTGTTTCTTTATATTGTGTCCCTTTCTCCCAGACTGACTCTATACCAGTCATCATTTTAGTATCGAATTTCAATTCATCTAGAAAATTCTCCTCTGGATACATTACATCCACCATCATTCATACTTATTTTAGCCTTTTAACATATGTCTGTTTTGTATTACATCCTGTGTGTGCTTTTCTGGTATGCTTCACTTAAGAGTCTTATTGAACATCAATAAGGTCAATGCACAGCATCACTTTTCCTACCTGAAAAAGGCAATTAGAAAACAGAAAAGTCAAAAACACAGAGGCCAAAATATTGCCTCTTTACTTAAAAAAGTAGGCCTTCAGCCAGTTGGATTTTTTTTTCGTTTTCCCACTTCTTTAATTTTTATTTTTAAATTTAAATTAGAAACAAGGTTGCTTCACATGTCAATCCCAGGTCCCTCTCCCTTTCTCTCCCCTCCTCCCATGCCCTCCCACCAACCCCCCAACACTCCCTCATTTCCCCAGGGAGGGTGAGGCCCTCCATTGGGGTGTCCATAGTCTGCCATTTCATCCAGGGCAGGACCTAGATCCTCCCCCAAGAGTCCAGGATGAGAGTGGGACTCTCATTGAGGGATGGGAACCCAAAGTCCATTTATATGCCATGGATATATACTGATCTACTACCCAAGGCCCAATAGATTACCTAGACCTCCTCACTGACACCCACATTCAGGGGGTCTTAATCAGTCCCATACTGGATTCCCAGCCATCAGTCTGGTATTCAAGAGCTAACTCTTGTTCAGGTCATCTGTTTCTGGGGGCTAAACCAGCCCAGTCTTAACCTCTTTGCTCAACAGAGCCCTCTCTGTCACTGGGTTCCTTGAGTTAAGCTCAGTGTTTAGCTGTGGGAGTCTGCCTCTGCTTCCATCAGCCATCAGACTCTCTGGCCGTGGAATTGTGGGCTGGCACTCCCCAGATCTATGTCTAAAATCCATATATGAGAGAGTACATACCATGTTTGTCTTTTTTGACTGGGTTGCCTCACTCATGATGGTTTCTTCTAGTGCCATCCATTTGCCTGCAAATTTCAGGATTCCATTGTTTTTTTTTTCTGCTGAATAATACTCCATTGTGTAAATGTGATGCAACATGTAAATGGATCCACCAATGAAGATATCAGAAGCATCAGTTATTGTTGACACGCTGACTCCACACAGATGGAGACTCTCAGCCAGAGCTACCAGCTAAGCAGCTCCTGACCTAACAAGGCGGTGAGATCACACATTCGCTATCTCCGGTTGCTATGTTTTGGAATTATCTAGCAAACAGAATCTTAAAAAAACAAAATCATCTATCAGTTCTAAGCACAAGTTGTCGTTTTGCATATGTAAATGAGTGAATGCAAGATTGAGTCACTTCAAGTCACCACACATAGCTTCTAGTTACCATATCTTTGTTAATAAAAAATACTGTTTTGTATGAAATATAAAATAGTTAAAGTGTTCTGTAATTTTTAGTGAATGAGAAAAAGGCAAAAATATCACTGATTATGTCAAGCTGGAGATGTATAGAAAGCTACATTTATTCATGTTTTCTAGAAAAGGGGAAATAAACTACTAATTTGAAAGGGAATTTATTTTCATTATTCAACAAATATTTATTATTCGTCTTCACTGTCCTATGTGCTGATCTGGCAGTTGGAAACTACTGAAACAAAACAAAGATTCTTTTAATATTAGGGCTTATTCTTAGTGTTAGCAAATAAGTGATAAAAAGACATAATAAACCAAACAACCACACAATTATACAGAAAGTATAGACAGAGAAAAAGTAGATAGAATGAGGTGGTTCACCCCAATTGTTAACCAATAAAATATACAATTACCTGGGAAATGGGCCTCCAGATAAGCCAATGTTAATTTAGTTAAGAAGACCTGCCCACTGTGGGCGACATCATTCTCTGGGATGAACTCCCAGACTATACAAAGACAAGTGAGCACATACACTCACTGCCTCAAGCTTCCTGACTAAGGAAGCAATGTGACCAGGTACTTTATGCTCCTATCACTGTCACTTCCATACCAGAATGAACTGTACTTACAAACTGTGAGTCACAGCAAACTCTTCCTTCCTGGAGTTGCTCTGGTCAGGGTATTTTATCGTAAGTAAAGTAACTAACATCTGGTCAAAGGAGAATAAAAATATGGGAGTCCATGCAGGGGGCTCTGAAAGAGTGAGGAATTTAGAACTCACACAAAATATTATTTTGATCAAAGACAAAAAGGTAAGACAAACAGGAATTCAGAAAGTGAAAGAATAGCCAATAGAAAGGGCCTAATGGGAAAATGAATTAGAGTTGAAACATGGGCAAGGAGGGCTACATGCTTGCAGCAGAGAAAGAAGCAGAAAGTAAGAGATGACAGAATTGAGATAGTTGTGGTCAGTTCATGAAGGACTTTGTGAGATATTTAATACAACTTTAAATAACTGAAGTGGAAGATCACTACCATTTGGAGGCAAGCAAAATAGCTTGAGGGAAGGCCTTGAGGTAGAAATAAGATCAAGTC